CTACACAAAAAGGGCTCGACTAAAATATGCAGTAACTACCGCCTCATTGCTCTTTTCTCACATGCAAGCAAAATATTACTGCATATTTTGAATGAGAGATTGAAAGCGTACCTATCCAGGGAAATTGCCCCGGAACAAGCTGGCTTCGTAAAAGGAAAAGGAACCCGTGAACAGATCCTTAATGTGCGCCAAATCATTGAAAAGGTTAGGGAGTTCAATAAGCCAACCTACATCTGCTTTGTGGACTTCTCAAAAGCATTCGATTCGGTGAGGTGGCCAGTACTTTGGGAGACTCTCCTGGACATGGGAACACCAAAACACCTTGTTCACCTTTTGAGAACACTATACGAAGACGGAACAGCCTCAGTCAGAGCGGACGACATTTTATCGGACCATTTCCACCCCAGCGCCGGAGTCCGACAAGGTTGTATTGTGTCTCCGATACTGTTTAACATCTACACAGAACTCATTATGAGAATAGCACTCGAGAATTGGTCAGACGGAATCAGTATTGGAGGCTATAAGACTTGCAATTTGAGGTATGCGGATGACCTTAAGAAAGGTTACAATACTGTAAAAGATTTCATAAATGATAAGTCACCTTGGGCTTAACATAATAGACTGTCGTTTTACTTTGCTAATTTGGTTGAAAATTGTTTAATCGCCACTTCTAAATTTAAAAATAGTACCTAGTTATACTTAACTTTTGTTAATTAATAATATTAATGTGATGGAAGTTGACATCAACACATGTATTCAATTTTTGATGTCATCTTTCAATTGACGACACTGTGTGAAACAAAACAAGGAGAAAAAAATAGCCCTTGCTGAGTTTCTTGCCGGTTCTTCTCAGTACAAGGTCTCCCGCCGTAGATTTACGAACCGATGGCGTAGCGTTTGACTTTCACAAGAGCTTGTAACAGCCTAGACTGAATAAATGAGTTTGAATTTGAATTTGACACCACTCTGTTTTGCAACAAGCGCCAGTAACATGGAATCTCTGCTAAGCAAAATGGAGCAAGTTAGTCGTGATTTTGGCCTGAAAATAAATCGCAGTAAAACCAAGATTATGATTGTCGATCGTGCTAATAACAACTCGCCAGAAATTACTAAAATCGCGAACTGCGATGTCGTTCAGTCATATATCTACCTTGGATCACTGATTTCAGGCAACGGTGGATGTGCAGATGAAGTCAAGCGGCGCATGGCAATCACGAGGTCAGCTATGGACAAACTTCAAAAAATATGGAGAAACAGGAACATCACAAAAGCCACGAAAACACGACTCGTCAGGGCATTAGTGTTTCCCATATTCCTCTATGGTGCTGAGACGTGGACCTTGCGAGAGAGTGAGAAAAAGAAGATAGACGCTCTAGAAATGTGGTGCTGGAGGAAAATGCTTGGCATACAGTGGACACAATTCCGAACCAATGCATCCATCCTCCAGGAACTGTCCATCAAACAACGTCTGTCTTCCATCGTACAAGGTCGTATTCTAACTTTCTTTGGCCACATCTCACGCCGAGAAGATGTGTCTGTGGAACGACTGGTGGTGCAGGGCAAAGTCGAGGGCGTAAGGGCGCGCGGCAGATCACCAATGCGCTGGACTGACCAAATAAAAGCAGCACTGAACGGTCCACTTCACGAGTGCGCTAGAAAGGCCGCAGTGCGGGACGAATGGCGGCGTATTGTGAAGCGCGCCACCAATCCTGATGTGACGACCACGACCACTCTGTCAAGAGTTTAGCGCCGAAGAAGAGAAATGTTAAGGGTAATCCACCCCTAAATTTTTTTTTTCAATTTTAGTTAAAAAAAATTGATGCGTGTAACTTATGTACGCGCGTGAGAAGTTATACTTCTTTAGCATCATTAAAAATATTTTTTAATTGCATGCGAATAATTAATAATTACAATAAAATAATAAAAGGACTGGAAAAGGATAGTTAACACAGTCAATTAAGTTCAGTTTTAATTTGAAAAATTAAATAAATATTCAAAATATTCAATTAAAATCACTACTGAATTTAAGTTATTAGTCCATATGTAATTAGCACTTGTAAGTAACTAAAACACGTTGTGTCTATATAGAAACTAGAAACATATGGATAAATAATATAAATATGAAAACAGTGATCAGAGGCGACGAGCGTGCCAACATTGTTTTTGACAACGCGATCATCTTATGGAGCTCCGTGGATCGTTCAAAGTACCTTTCGAACAGATGTCTAATAATGGTGGATTATTAACCACTAAGTGGTTAATAATCCACCATTATTAGACACCAACATTCATAACGCGCCCGCGGCCAACTTCATGGTGTTACTATTGTGTTACAGTGGTGCGCGCGCATCTAAAAATTTCACTTTCATCATTTTTTCATAACGCGCCTAAAGAAGTATAACTTCAAAAATTTTTATGATACAGCATTCAAAAATACATACAACCGTAAATTTTCACCCTTCTACCACCAACCCCTATTTTTTTATGGCGGTACAAAGTTCGCTGGGTCAGCTAGTCTAATATATAAAATTCTCGTGTCGCGGTGTTTGTGGTTAAACTCCTCCGAAACGGCTTTCCCGATTCTCATGAAATTTTGTGTGCATATTGGGTAGGTCTGAGAATCGGACAACATCTATTTTTCATCTCCCTAAATGTTAAGGGTAATCCAGCCCTAAATATTTTTTTTCAATTTTAGATAATTTTTTATGATACATCATACAAAAATACATACATCCCTAAATTTTCAACTTTCTACCACCAACCCCTATTTTTTTATGGCGGTACGAAGTTCGCTGGGTCAGCTAGTTATCTATATTATTACCGTGACCTAGTACAGTGTCCGTGAGAGTAGCACAAATTTGGTTTAAGCGTTTTCAATCCGGAAATTTTGTTGTCAAAGATGCACGTCGCTCTGGTCGCCCTGTTACTGATAAAATGGAGCAAGTTCGGCATATAAGTAGTTACGACGTAGCTGAAGAACTGGAATTTGACCACATAACAGTTTTGGGGCATTTGAAAAAACTGGCTTCACAAAAAAACTCAAAATTATGGGTGCCCCGAGTGCTCACTGAATGAAACCTAATGAACCATGTACTCATTTGCGATTCTTTATTACGACGTAATGAAACCGAACCATTTTTGATAACTGGTGATAAATAGTGGATCACATACGACAAGAACGTGCGATAAAAGGTCGTGGTCAAAGGCCGGTCAGGCTTCACAGACTGGCGAAACCCGGGCCAACCCGCAATAAGTGGATGCTGTGTTTATGGTGGGATTGGGAGGACTTTAATCATTATAAGCTATTACCGCTGCCAGGCACAACGATCGATTCTGAACTTTGCTACGAACAACTGATCAGATTAAAGTAAGAAGTTGAGAGAAAGCGGCCGGAATTAATCAACAGAAGGTGTGTAGTTTATTTATCATCATGATAACGCTAGACGTCACACATCTTTAGCCACTCAGCAAAAATTAAGAGAGTTTGACTGGGAGGTGTTAATGCATCCGCCGTTTAGTCCTGAACTTGCACCTTCAGATTTCCACCTGCTTCAGTCTCTTTAGAATTCATTAAGCAGTGTCAGGTTAACATCATGAGAGGACTGCCAAAACCACTTGTCCCGGTTTTTTTGTTCAGAAGCCAAGAAATTTCTATAGCAATGTCCCTACCGACAAGATGGCAAAAAGTTATCGAAAAAAAAGTCACCTACATATGTAATTTAGTTAAATGTAAATAAATTTTATTAAAAAAATATTTGCATTTTCATTTAAAATCGAAGAAAATTTCCCCCCAAGCTATATTTGTTTTCTTGAAACGAGAAAGATAGCTTTGATCAAAATCGAAATGCAGCAAGGAAATTTCCAGATTTGCTACGGAATCAGGATTGCATGAAACTCAATTTGATGAATGGAGGAGGTTTGTTAGCGAGTGCGTGTTTGAACCTGTGGGACCGGTCGCGGTGAAACGCTTTTTGTACCCCGACCGACCTGTCGCCAGTGAACGCCCCGCCGCGCCGGGCTTAATGCAAGATTTCAAGACTGCAACAATTCACGAATACAATCGGCCTTATGCAGTAAACCATTAGTAATTTTAATTTATTATAAACTAGATAATTAGATCTGTTACATATTGTGTGCCTTTTTAATAAAACGTATTTAAATTGACGAAATCACTTGGAATAAGTAGTATTATTATTATATATGGTCGGTTAAAGATCGCAAATCCAGTAAAATAATAAGTAATAGGTACGTAGGTCAATGAGGTGACTCAGCAATAGTGAATTATTTATCGGTGTTATCGTGAAAACACTTCTTTGACGTAGGTAGGCATTGTTTAATGCTTATCATTTGGCGCGAAATTCACATGGATTAGATTGATCACTTATTTTCATTTTCAGCTTCTACTTTCGGCGTCGAAAGGTATATGAGATCTAGCGAAGATTGGCACGCGGTGGCGGGGACGGGCGGACATGCCAAGGCAGGCGAGCAACATATTTACTCATATGCCCGAGGCGTAAATCACCGTGCATCTATTTCGAGGCGGTCGGTGAGTGCGGGAGGGGGGCGGTGCGGGGCGCGGCGGAGAGGAGAGAGGCGCGGGGCGCGGGCAGACGCCGTGCCGGTCTGGCGCCAGAAGGATTCCCCAGCGCCCCCCACCTCCCTCCGTCCGAGCCGAGGTCACCGCGCACCCGTGCCTTTCCTTACGATTTGAATTGACGTTAATAATAGCTATAGGCGCTGCACTACCTACATCGGGTTTTCCACACTAAAAACGTAATCGTTCGCTAACCATTAAAGGAAGTATATCTCCATTAAGTTACCGAAATTTATCAAGATAAAGAAAATTATAAATAAAGATACGGTCCGCTTTTATTAGAATTCCTTTTTATTTCGCTTTGAAATTAGTCAACATTGTTGAAGATGTGATATGATCATACCTAATACGCAATGCAATTGCGTAATAGACGTTGTTTAAAATCATAAACTCGCTTGTTACTTACCGAGTCGAAGTAAGAGAGAGTCGAGCGTAGTGAAGTGAGAGAACTGATCTCTCCTTCCCTCGCCCCGACCGCCTCCACCACGCAGGGATGCCCTGCCGTCATTGGTTACTCATGCATCTTGCAAAACCTGTACGCGTACCATTATAATAATTTGACATTTTGTTTACATAATTAACACTAGGTACACTTTTCATAGTTCGAAAGCCTAATATTAACATTATACAATCGTAATTAAATATACGTTAAAACAAAATAGATGGACACATGACTACACTAACGTACGGAAACGGAATGAAAAGGTACTCCTGTCAACTGAAAGTATGTGTACACAAGACGCACACATACTAATCTCGGCACCTATGCTTCACACAACACACTGATGAAATCATCCAGCACAGTAACGAAAGATGCACAAAAAAACAGACTTATATCAACCGAATAAAGATCATATTTGTATGGTCAACATTCTACAACACAAAAGGCAGTCGGGCATTTCGGACATTCGCTTTCAATCGTCCATGTAGCGACCAAGTTCTTTGAGTTGTTGTGCTGTTATCGAACGAATGAACCACATTTTATTTTTAAACTTAAATCATTCCATTTGAATATGAATTTGTCTGGTTTTTTATGAATAACCTACATTAATATCAAATTAATATGTACCTAGTTGCTTAGTATTAGGTACCTACGAAAACAGATTGTGTAGAGTCATCCTTAAGTATATTTTCCATTGAATGACACATTGATGAAATTGCATATTTAATCAATGTATAATTTTTTGCATAATACATTGATTAAATCGTGCTATTCAGTCTTTGATCTACGAAACACATTGAAAGTTGTTTAAAATCAATCAATCTGCATCAATTTTAGTCTTATAATTTCAATTCGTCTTATAGTTACAAAATTTACCCTTTTTAGGGTTCCGTAGCCAAATGGCATAAAACGGAATTCTTATAGATTCGTCATGTCCGTCCGTATGTCACAGGCATCTCTTTTCCTAAACTATAAGAACTAAACTGTTAAAACTTGGTAAGTAGATGTGTTCTGTGAACCGCATTACGATTTTCATACAAAATAGAAAAAAAACATGAAATTTTGGGGGTCTATATTAACTGGAACCCATAATTGGAACAGAAACCCAAAAAAAATTTTAGCATCAAACCCATACGTGTATCTATGGATAGGTCTTCAAAAATGATTTGGAGGTTTCTAATATCATTTTTTTCTAAACTAAAACATCGATCAAAGTTACAACGAACTACAAGAACTTTTATATTATGTTACTTGCTGCTACGGAACCCTTCATGGGCGAGTCCGACTCGCACTTGGCCGCTTTTTTTACCTACATCGGTGTTCAGTTACTTTGTCTTTGAAAATAACTTTACTTAGAAATAATCGATCCTGAAATTGTGTCTCACTTAATATGTATAATATAAACTGTAGACTATGCTGTAATAAGCGCAAACATCGTTATCTTAGAGTATCTAAGATCGTTAAGGTTAACATCACAATTTACATTAGGTAGGTATATCACGTTTCTAATCGCGTCTAGCTGTCAAACCTATAGTAATTTGAAAAATGAGCGTGATAAAAACGGGCTATCTATGTGTCATGTCGCAGTGCTCATGCTAGTGATGCTAGAGGGGCAGAGTTCCGAAAGGGCCTGTCATAAAAGCCTCTCTCGCCTGTTTACTAATAGACAGGTCGCGGCTTTCTTAAAATAAATGTAGGTATGTCCTTTTGAATGCCTACAGTTTGCGGTAGTGTATTACAGATTACAGTGTACTTATGAGTCTGTTCCACTAGCCCCATTATTTCTTCAGCTTAACTGTGATTAAAATCCTCTAAGAAGCACTCATTGTTAAAGATTGACATTGACATTAAAGCAAATAAAACCGAGAAGGAGGATTGATGTAGTTTAGATAAATTTCTAGAACCTGACTACAGCGCCACCTACAGCGTCCAGTTGAAAATTTAAACCATCAACAGACCCATTTGAATGCACAAATAAAATTTCATTGACATCAGTCTATATCTAGTCCAGTCGTTTAAGTAGAGTTCAGATTAAATTTAAAGTCCGACTACAGCAGTTGTAAATTTAACCATCCCGGGATATACTCGAATGCCTTCATTTCATTGAAATAGGTACAGTTCAAATGAAACCCTAGATCCCGATTATAACGCCACCTAACGGGTCCAATTATTAATCTTAACCGTCCACAACCCACTCGAATGCACACACAAAATTTCATGAAATCAGTAAAGTTATTTTTTATTTTTTGCGAGACTAATACCTACACGACTATTGCTTTTTATGCAAGGTGGCTGCAAAAGTAATCATCAAATTTTGTTGTTTAATAACTTTTTACTATATAAAAAAAATGCTATGCCAAATCAGCAAAATGAAATTGTGCGGTTGCACCATCGTAAACCACAAATTTTCACGCTCTTGCGGAGTATCGTACTCCATTACCTGTCTGTTTGTTTTTTGTTTATGTATCTAGTTCATAAATGTCAAAAATTATTAACGTAGTTCGACGCCATTTGCAATAATTATAACATTTTCCGATAAAGTAATTTTGCGCCGTTCTGTATATTTTATTTCGGTTTCGGGGGGTCATTCATGAATGACATACATGCAGGCTTGGACTACCAAGCTAACTTTTTGATCAAGCCGGTTTTTTAAAAGGCTTCCTAAACTAAATTCATACTCTGCGGGCAAGGGCGGATCCAGGACTTTTTCTGGGAGGGGCACAAGTGGTGCATGGGCAAAAAATCAACAATTCAAGTATGTATAGGAAGGTTTATGAAATTGTCAAAACAATAGAAAAATTAAATGTTTAATAAAGACAGTTTTCCTTTATGTTTCCTGCTAAAGATATCCAGCACTTCATTAGCGTCCATTTTTACCGCAACGTCTTGATGAATACGCATTAAAGCCAATCCATTAAAACGCTGTTCTGTCATCCTGTTGCGAAGATATGATTTTAATCGGCGTAAGGTGAAGATAGATCGCTCGGCAGTGCTAGCAGTCACTGGAAATGTGCACAGCAATTGACAAAGAACTCTAATATTTGGCAGCACTGTTGCTCTTTTGTAGGCATTTGCTGGAGATACTAAAATACCGTCTGGGCACGTGCATTAAATTTAGTTTTAAACGATGCTGCGAAACATGTTTATGAAGTATAGAACTTTTTTCGATAATCTTGAAAAAATATATATACTTATTTTGGCAATAGTTACAACGCTGGGCAATGTTAAGTGACGATTCATCTGCAAAAATATTTAATTACCCTTAAAAAGATATGTCCTACCAGATGGTCTTCAAAAAACGAAAAATTAGGTTTTGAAAAATTATTTATTTATCATGAAAACTTTGTACCAACTAAATTTAAATTCGAATAAAAAAAGATGAATGAATGTGAAGAATTAAAAAATATAATTAACATTTTAGAGAGTTTCCTTAGTGCTTTCACATTTTTTTCTTCACTATTTGAAATCATTAATCCTGTTTCTAAGGCTCGACAGCATGAAAATAATGACTTACAGAAAACTAGTACTTAAGTAATATTTTGAATAGACTGTGCGAATTAAGAATCAAAATTCATTCAATAGTATAAATGGGTCCAAAGATTTAGCAAAAGAGTGGAGGGTATCAACTGTTTTTAAAAACAAAAGGCGAAAGATAACGAAGCGTTTTTTTGGCAAGTTATCACAAGATGAGAGAATTTCAGACCCGGAATCCTATTTTAAAGTCAATGTATACTATTGCTATTTAGATATATTGATTTCTCAAACTAAACAAAGTTTTAAGAGCCTTTGCGACCTATGTAGTATGTTCCAAATATTACAACCGGAGAAACTCGTGTCTTCTTCAAACGAAGAGATATAAAACGCTTCAGGAGAACTGTCGGTTAAATACAGTAAAGACATCTCAGTTAATCTTTATGACCAATTTAAGCTTCTAAAAACATGCTTAAAATCTGAAATTCAAAAAATTTATTTCATTAAGGAACTCGTTGAATTATTGCTGATAAAATTCAAGTCTTGCATCCAGTTTTCCGGAGGTAATTTTAAGTTTTATATTTGATGGGCAATTAACGTAAACAAAGTTGGAAATATAATTAAATAATAGTTTTATTTGGTATTTACATAAAAGACACACAAGACCTAAATATATTTTTTGCAAGACAGCTAACAATGTCAACTACTCTCTTTTATAGTCATAGAGATCTATGAAGAGTGTAAAGACTCTTTATTACTCGTGGTATAATAAAGGCTGTCCTCTTAACATCCCCAGGACTTTTAGGGACTGATACAGTTCAAACCTTGGAGTCCAATTCTTTTACTTAGATCTCGCAGTCTTGGTCCAAAGAGAGGTTTTGTGAACATATCGGCGAGTTGCTTTTCCGAGGAAACTTGTTTCACAGATAGTTCACCCTTGGTGACACATTCTCTTATGAAAAAATGCTTGAGCTTTATATGTTTTGTTCTTTTATGATATTCGCAGGGAGAATTTTCTGATAATTTTATCGCAGACTCATTATCTACATATATGACAGGCTTTTCGACTTCTGTCAGTTCTTCTAAGAGTCCTTGTAGCCATATACTTTCCCGGGCAGTTTCGGAGAGCGCTATAAGTTCAGCTTCTGTAGAAGATATAGCTGCAGAAGATTGTTTCTGACTCTTCCAGAAAATTGGTCCAGAAAACAAAAACACCATGCCTGTAGTAGTGTCCAGTAACAGAATCTCCACCGTGATCTGCACCGCTGTAGCAGATTAGCTTTCTGTCTTTTTCATTTCTAAAGACTAGTCCGGTGTCCATAGTTCCCTTCAAATATCTTAGAATTCTTGTTACTTTTAAAATATCCATCTGCGTTGGATTTTCAAGATGTCTTGAAGCCATACTCACTGCATAGTTGATGTCAGGTCTTGTGGCGACCATTAAATATGCCAGCGCACCTACCGCTTGGCGATAAGGAAAGTTTATGTTGGCTCCTTTGTCATCATCCTCCTTCAAGGTTTTTACAGAAGGAGATGGAACGCAGTCAATCATGCCAAACCTTTCTAATATTTTCTTGGTGTAAGACCTTTGGTGTAAAGTTATGTCATCATCTTTAGATTTCCCAATTTCGAGACCAAGAAAATAGCTGGCTGGTTTTGTTGTGATTAATTCCTTTATGAAATTAACGCCTGCTGCTTCACTACTTGACGCTACTATTCCATCGTCTACGTATAGTGCAATTAGTACTGGGTTTCGTATATAAAGGCAAGGGTCATTAGTGCAT